TTAAAAAAAAGCTGGCTGGATTGATAAGTTGGTAGGGAAATGGAAAATGACATTTCGGTACATATGAAGAGTACCTCCTTAGGGCAATTGCTGTCCATTAGCCACAAGGGGTCGCACCAGCTCTTTCAAGCTCCCTCCAGTTGTTTTCTAGAAAGAAGGAGAGGGAAAGAGGAGGTGAACAGATACCCCACAGCATTTCCTGCTCTGGGCAGGCAAGGCCTGCAACTTCATTCCCAGTCTGGCTCCAAGTCCTCTGGCTCCTGGTCTTTTCAGCTTCTGTCCTAAGTTCTAAGTTTTTGATCGGTTTCCCAGTTTGTTCTTTCCTTTGGACTTAACCCAGAGAAATGGTCTCAGGTCTTTCCTGGAGCCCCCAGTCCCATTTAGAGAGGTGACTTGTTACACTTAGCTATTTAAAGTAAGTACAATTGCCCTAGCCGGCTTGGCTCAGTGGACAGAGCGTCAGCCTGTGGACTGAAGGGTCCCAGGTTCGATTCCAGCCGAGGGCACATGCCTGGGCTGCATGCTTGATCCCCAGGGTGGGGCATGCAGGAGGCAGCCAATCAATGATTCTCTCTCATCATTGATGTTTCTATCTCTCTCTCCTTCTCCCTTCCTCTCTGAAATCAATAAAGAAATATATTAAAGTAAGTCCAATTAACAACAATGAAAATTTTAGTTCCTCCATCTCACTAGCTGATTCAAGTGCTTGATAGCTCCATGTGGCTAGTAGCGACTGGACAGCCCAGAGAACATTTCATCATCACAGAAAGTTCTACTAGATAGCATGTTTTTATCTCATTTACTTTTATAACAACCTTCTGATGCAGGCGTAACCATTAATCCACGTTAGAGATAAGGGCCTCAGGTGCAGAGAGGTTGGGAACTTAGCCAAACTCTCAGCAGATTAGTGTCCAGAGCAAGGGCTTAGGCTCAGGTGGATGGCTCTGGAGCCCGCCATTCTGTGTCTACGCCAGGTGTTGCCCCATAACCCCAGCTACTCAGCTCTCTCTTCTTACCTCTCAGTCGTGGGACTGATTCTTCCCATCCCAACAGCCATTGTCCCTCACAGCTCATCCCCTGCAGCTGACCTGAATGATGAGGGCACCTGGGCTTCCAGTCCCTTCTGGAAGAACACCCCCTCTATTGTCCTCCCCACTTCCTGTCAGGTCTGTTTTATTTAGAGCATTAGCATTAAGGGGTTTTGATCCCTCTCCTAACACATCCCTGTTAGGTTCACTGGAGGAGGTACACACGAGGCCCAAAGGGGTAAAGAATTATAAATTTATTAGGTCATCTGGGAACCAGATGGGCTGAGCCCCAAAATGGCGCCAGCACCCAGGGACAGGGAGTCAGAGATTTTAAAGGATTCTAGATGGGCTTTGTTGGCGGGGAAATTCTCTGGGCAGGTCCGGATCCTGGGTAAGTCTTAAAGGGAAAGTTACTGGTTTTAGGAATGTGGTCTAAGCCCGTGGTCGGCAAACTGCGGCTCGCAAGCCACATGCGGCTCTTTGGCCCCTTGAGTGTGGCTCTTCCTAAGCCTTAGGAGTACCCTAATTAAGTTAGTAACAATGTACCTACCTATATAGTTTAAGTTTAAAAAATTTGGCTCTCAAAAAAAATTTCAATCGTTGTACTGTTGATATTTGGCTCTGTTGACTAATGAGTTTGCCGACCACTGGTCTAAGCGAAAGGGAATGCCGTTTGTGAAATGATCTAAAAGTCAGTTTCTCAGGGGAGTGGGGTATCGATTAGATGATTCAATTACTTTATCAGACCTAACATTCCAGCCTTTTTGTTTTATGGAATAGGGACAGAGGTCATTTCTTCCATAGTTATTTCCTGCTGAGAAGGGACATCGAGATCATAAGGGGATGGGCTTTGATTGTAGTCGGCTGGAACACTGTATCGACTTCTCATGGTTGGAGTGAGGGGTTGCAGCAGCATGATTTCCAGAGAGACTGGTTGGTGAAGGCTTGAAAGCAGTCCTGTTGAGTGATTTTGGGGGGGGAAAGCTGGTCCTGAGGCCATCACAGCGTCACTTGTCTGGGCCTGGAGCTAAAATACAACTGAGGCCTCGAAGTTATCTTTAGGGAGGAAAAAACAGGGGTCTCAGCTGCCTGACTACTGATATGAAACGGGAGGATAGGTTACCCTGGGGGCGAGGTTCCCAGTTTTGCTGCTTGCTAGTATTATTGCGGCAAAAGCTAGAATGACAAGAATTTTGACAAATGATCTCATGGAAGGAAAGAGACATTAGTTTGGAAAGTTGTAGCCAAACATTATAAAGTTTATATTTTTAGGTCCATTGTAGAGTTTTAAATATATATATATATATATATACACTAGAGGCCCAGTGCACGAAATTAGTGTGTGGGAGGGGGGGTGTCCCTCAGCCAGGCCTGCTCCCTCTCACAATCCGGGACCCCTTGGGTAGGGTCCCTAGGCCTGGCCGGTGATCAGGGCCTATCGAGGCTTTCCTTCACCTCCCCACCCCCCTGCTGCCAGCAGCTGGCCCCGCCCATGCCACTGCCACTGCTTGCCATCTGTGCAGCGCTGCTCCCCACTACCCTGCCACCAGACGCCTCCCTCTGCGGGCAACAGGCATGGGGTGCGATTGCTTGGCTGGCCTGGGCCTCCCTCTGTGGGGTGATCACTGGCCAGCCCTGCACACCTGCAACAGCATTGCTGGCCAGTGGCCTGGGCCTCCCTCTGCGGGATGATCGATCGTGGGGTGATCGATTGCAGGGCTCTGCAATCGATCATCGCACAGAGGGTGACTTGGGCCTGCGTCTTTGGGGCAATCGCATAGTCCCCCTTCCCCCCCATTGATCGCCCTGCCGGCTGGTGGCCTGGGCCTCCCTCTGCGGGGTGATCATGGGGCGATGGCGGCACCCCGACCGATCACATCACACCCACCTTGGCTGGCCTGGCGCCAGTGTGTGTCATAGGAAGGTCGTCCAGATGGTCGTTTTGCTGTTTGGTCGTTTGGTCGATTTTCATATTATGCTTTTATTATTATAGATGAGTATGTGTATACATATATACATATATATGTGTACACACACACACACATATAAAAGAACTGTATATACACACACACATATAAAACCCCTGTCCCACATGACTGGGTACAAGAACTAACATTCATGTGTGTTCAACAGCTGCCTATTGAGCACAGACTGTGTTCTCAGCACAGATCCTAGCCATAGGTCATATCTGGCCGTGAGCAAGACAGGCAGAGTCCCTGCTCTCATGGAGCTTACATTCTAGCCTGAAGAGACAGGTGATAATAAGTAGGAAATTTAATAAATAATGTAATTTCAAATAGTGATAAGTGCTCTGGTGATAATGCAATCAGAGCTGGTGATAGCGATTGGGGGGAATTCTTTTGATTGGGGATCGCAGGAAGACATGTCTATGGAGGTGACATTTGAACTGATGTACAGCAGAGGATCAACCATAAATGTTGAGTGACTAAGTGGCTGGGTATCTGGGTGGCTGGGTATCTGGGTGGTTAGGTGACTGGGTGGCTGATGGCCAAGTGGCTGAGTGGCTGAGCAGTTAGGTATCTAGTTGCTTAGCTGACTGGGTGGCTAAGAGGCTGGGTAGTTGGGTATCTGGGTGGTTGGGTGGCTGGTGGTTAGGTGGTTGGATGATTAGGTGCCTAGGGCGCTAGCAAATTGGATGATTAAATGGACATCAGCACCCACTCTAGAGCCTCTTTGTCAGAAAGTTCTTTCTACTATTTAACATAACTTTCTCATTCTGTTCTCTTGAAGTTCCCTATGTTGGGAAAACTGGTTAGTCTTATCTATGCCTCTTCTATCTCCAAGTGTGTTTCTGGGCCAAAAAATGAATGGATGGGGACAAAACAGGATTCTAGGCAGTGGTTCAACCATAAAAGTTGAGTGACTAAGTGACTAGGTCTCCCAGAAACAGGTTTAGAGCAATATCAGACTAGGCCGCTCCCTCAGGAGTCTTAACTAATGCCTAGGAAGAGGAGAAACCCAGGACTCCACTGGTCTCAGGTTGAGGCTAATGCTAGAGTAACTCAAGTCCCAGGAGAGTGGCTCTGGGACTCCATCCTGTTTCCTTAGCAGTAGCCCTGGCCTCTGTGTCCTCCTTGCAGTGGCCTGGCCTCTGTCTCCTTGCAGTGGTCTGGCCTCTGTGTCCTCCTTGCAGTGGCCTGACCTCTGTCTCCTCCTTGCAGTGATCTGGCCTCTGTTTCCTTGCAGTGGTCTGGCCTCTGTGTCCTCCTTGCAGTGGCCTGGCCTCTGTCTCCTTGCAGTGGTCTGGCCTCTGTGTTCTCCTTGCAGTGGCCTGGCCTCTGTGTCCTCCTTGCAGTGGTCTGGCCTCTGTGTCCTCCCTGCAGTGATCTGACCTCTGTCTCCTCCTTGCAGTGGCCTGGCCTCTGTCTCCTTGCAGTGGTCTGGCCTCTGTGTCCTCCTTGCAGTGGTCTGGCCTCTGTCTCCTCCTTGCAATGATCTGGCCTCTGTCTCCTTGCAGTGGTCTGGCCTCTGTGTCCTCCTTGCAGTGGCCTGGCCTCTGTGTCCTCCTTACAGTGGCCTGGCCTCTTTGTCCTCCTTGCAGTGGTCTGGCCTCTGTGTTCTCCTTGCAGTGGCCTGGCCTCTGTGTTCTCCTTGCAGTGGCCTGGCCTCTGTGTCCTTGCAGCGGCCTGGCCTCTGTGTCCTTGCAGTGGTCTGGCCTCTATGTCCTCCTTGCAGTGGCCTGGAGCTCCTGTGTTCTCCACTCATCAAAGCCGAGGTTTCCCTTCTCTCCTTTTCATGGTCAGAGAAACAGGTGTGTTGTCTGCAGATCAACCTACTTTCTCCCTCAGCTCCCTGCCTTCCCATCCATCCTGTTCCACTGGCCTCCACAGAGTTTTCTGTCAAGTAAGAAAAAATTCTGACCTATAATCATTTTGACCTTCAAGGACATGTTCTGTGACGCCAGGGAGGGAGAACGCAAACCAACAATTGGTGCTGCTAGAAAGAGCAGTCATGGACACCAGGCACCTCAGTCAGTTACTTCCAGGGTGAGGGGAGTGGGACCTAAAGATCCAAGGAGATCCAGGCAAAGGCAGGTTAGCTGGGCCTCTCCGAGGAGCTGATATGGTAAGTTTCCCTATCTGAGTCCTCATCAATATGCTGGGACCATCATCCTGGCGCCCGAGGCCATCTGGGACCCGTAGTGTCTGGCTTGTCAAAGAAGAATGGCCAGCCTGGGGCTTCCCTGCAGATGATGCAGGGTTCCCAGGAGCTCTTCTCTCATCCCCCTCAGGGTACAAAATGCATTTTAGGAATGAGGACAGAAATTATAGAGCCCTTCCCATGACTGTAATGGAAATAAAACTTCCTGCAGGGAGTGGAAATAGCAGAGGGGCCTGGGGAAGCCTGACAAGGGAAGCAGGCGGCAGGGAGCCCAGGCTGTGGCACTTGCTACACACACCTCCAGCACCGCCCTGGAGGCGGCACGAGGAGCTGCCCTGAGGTAGCCAGGGCCTAAGAACTCAACCTAGGGGAGCGAGCATCGGGTCAGAAGGAGTGAGGCAGAGCAATGGGTGGAGAGAATCCAACTTGACCCAAGCTTGGCCTGGTGGTAGAGGGAAGTAGAATATACAGGGAGACAAGGAGATGGGAGGGAAGAAGGCCAGACAGAAGTTGCAGAGAATAGGAAAGGGGAGGGGAGGGGAAGGAATAAAGAGAAGAAGAGGAGAGAAGAGGAAAAGGGAGTGAAGGCACTCAAGGTCCCACCCTATTCTGGCACGAAGGACTGAGGGACAGGGACAGCTGCGGAGTGCTGTCTGGGCCTCCATCCTCAATGGGAGGCCCTCGGCTGGGAGACAGTGAGAGAAAGGATTGAAGGGTCCTGCAGCTCCAGGGGGACATTGTTCCGGTGTCACAGTCCAGCTGTCCCTCCATGTTTGGCCAAACCACGTGTTTGAAGGAGACATCCTGACCGGGATACCAGGGAAGGAAGAACTCAGCCCTGTCCCAGGTGAAGGTCTACACAGATGAAAACCCCTCCATTTCTTTAGGCTAGCCAGCCTCTGACCATGGGACAGCCACAGTGAGGAACAGTGGCCAGTACAGCTGCACAGGGAGGCGACGCACTTCAGGGACAGCCATGGTTCAAGTTCAAGGGGAGTCACCAGCTGGGGGATTGGAGGAGAGGAAGGTGCTGCTCTGGGATCTGGTCTCAGAGGTCAGCAGCTCTCTGGGCAGCACCCCTCCCTCTGGCTGCCCCTGATGCAGGGCCAATCCACAGGGCCCTAGCTTGTCCAGGATGCTGTCCACATGCCCTGACACCACCCCCACCTCCCCACCCCACACCTAGGACACATCAGGAGCCAGGGGAAGGAGAGGGGTGGGAAGATGTCCTGAACCAGCTCTGCTACTCACCTTCCCCCTCTTGAGACCTGGGCCAGACCAGAGAGGACTAGATGTCCTCTAAGGCCCTTGGCTCTGGGATCCAGGGGCTGGGGCTGTGTGGGAGTTGCCTCAGAGCCCATGGGGAGGTGAGAGGCCAGATCCTGGGGACAATGACAGTGTCTCCCTCAGCCTCCTGGGGCCTCACTGTGTAGTACTTCCCTCCTGTGCCCTGGGCTAACTTCTCCCCAGAACTCTTCCTGCCCCCTCTCCCAAGCCCCATGAGGGAAGCCCCCTGACCCCGAGGTGCCAGACAAAACTCCACCCTCAGAGGCCAGCCTCGTGGCTCCTCTTCTCCTTCTACAAGGAGGGCTGCACCTTGCAGAGCAGGGGCCTCCACTCAGAGCTCTGCATCCCAGCAGCCAGGGGGAGACTCTGGGTTTACTGGTGTGAGGCAGCCCCTGGGGGTGTCATGGTCCAGAAACAGAGCCCCCAGATGGAGATCAGGATGTGGGGTAAGTGGGGGAGGGATGGAGATATTCCTCAGGGGTCTGGGCATTGGTAGTGGGGCCCCCTGGGAGTGGGGGAGTGTTCTCTAAAGGAGGTGGAGCCAGGAGTCCTGGTGTTCCAGCTAACCTCTCACCTGGGGTGCTGCCCCAGCTCCTGTGTCCTGTTCTCTGCTCATCCTGAGTTCCGGGTCCCCTGGCCTTACTGTGGGGGACATGGTGAAGCTCCTCTGTGAGGCTCAGAGGGGCTCCCCTCCTATCCTGTACTCATTCTACCTGGAGGGAGATTTGGGGGAACTGCTCAGCCCCCCACGGTGAAGCTGTCTCCCTTCTCTTCCCAGGGATGTCAGAGCAGGATGCTGGGAACCACACCTGTGAGGCTGAGAGCAGGGTCTCCATGGAGACAAGTCAGCCTGAGACATTCTCCCTGGATGGTACATCTTATCCCTCACCCAGCTCTGAGCCCCATGCTGCCAGGACAGACCCCACTACCCCATGTACCTCCCACCAGGTGGGCACAATGCTGAGCCCATAGCAGGTACTGCATGACTCAGCGTGAACCCTGCTTGGAGTATCTATTCACTGAACCGGGAGTCCTCCATAATAATGGCCCTTCCCTGCTGGCCTCCTCTGAGTCATCCCTGATTCCCATCTCCAGGGTGTGTGCAGGCCAGGCCATGTGGTTGCCCCTAATGCCAGCCATCTGCCTCTTTTGTGCCTGTTTGAAGCGCATTTTTGAATCTCATCCTCAACATGCATGGTCACGCCTCCTCATCCCCCGGGACCTCATGCCTTGTCCTCTCCGAGCAGCAGTAACTGTCTGGTTCCTCGGCTGTCTGCAAGTTTGCTTGTTGTGATGGTCATTGCTGCTGCACCTCTGGGTTATTTCAGACCCTGGAGAAAAACTGGTCAGTAACTCTTTTGGAATTTCTTAGTTGATGAGTCCCTATGCCAGACACGGGCCAGCCTTCGGAATGGCAGAGCGTGACAGAACCAGTGCTTTCTTCTCCTGGGTATCGGGTGGGAAGAGGGACTTCTTGTCACATGTCATACATAGAGGGACCCTTAGCAGCTTCTGAAACACATACACAGTCACCCAGAGACACACACAGACAGACTACTGCACACTAGGGCATGGACAGAGGCACACAAAGGACAAAACTTCAGACAAGGTGACTAAAAAAACCCCAAGGCCTCCAACTCTCTCATTAAACTCAGCAGAGCTCTGGTCTTAGCAGAAGAGAAAGAAGAACTGAGAACTCCAGTGTGTGTGTGCATACTCACGCACACACACTCGTGGCCAGTGCTGTGCCCTAGGTCAGTCTTCAGTGGGTGTTAACTCATCACAAGGAAACACAAACAAAAGAGAACTGACCAATGACCTGGTCCCAATGCTGCTATTTCCTGATTTCTTACCTTGGACCAGTCTAGGCTAAGGGGATGACAGGGCAGGTTCCCCAAGAGGCCCTTTCTCCTGTTCTTCATTCTCTAATTCCTCCGATCAGAGTCATTGAAAAAAAAAACACAAATTTTGTTTAAAATTCGAATGTAGAGGATTCTTTAGAGAAAAAGAGGGGAAGGATGACAGGGCAGGTTCCCCAAGAGGCCCTTTCTCCTATTCTTCATTCTCTAATTCCTCCAATCAGAGTCATGGAAAAAACACACACACAAATTTTGGTTAAAATTTGAATGTAGAGGATTCTTTAGAGAAAAAGAGGGGAGATGATTAGATAAATGGCACTTTGGGTAATCTATTGATTTTGATACTCTAGACTCTCTTCTTCTTCCTGTCTTGGGCATGATAATTAAGCATCAAATTTGGCTTTCAAAGCAATCACCTTGGGTGGCTACATGATTATGCCAACTCTAACCCTTACTTGCTTCAGGCCATGTTTAAGTTTGCCAATGCCAAAGCTATTTGGTGCCAGTTAATTTCTAGGCCTTCAAATCCACCTACAGAGTTTCACATTTACCCACTTACTCCAGGAGCAACATACTTATTTTCCACTTGTCAAGGGCAAAAGTAATGGCTCTCATAGACCTCAGACCCAGACGTATTTATTCAAGCTTGCAGTTCTCTCTATAAAGGAATCTGTGGTGAGTTCTCCAGGAGCTGGGCCAAACTACTCTTGAGAAAGGCCACCAGTCATGCAACCCAAGTATTCCTTCCTGACCATCAGCCAGGATCCCTGAAAGGGTCTCTCCCCAGCTCTAGACCAGTCCCCCACCTCACCGGGCACCTCCGTTAGGGCTTGGGCCAGCCTCCAACTTCCTCTCCCCTTGTTAATTTAGCACTATTTGTCTGTCCAACCGCCCATCCTCACTTCCCTTCCTTCTAGTCTTGAGTCTGATACCTGTGTGGTCAGAGAAAGGTGAGGCAGGTCCAGAGTTAGATGGGAAGGCAGCTGGAGATGGGGCCATGAACTGAAGATCTGTGAGTTCTACCATCCCTGCATCTATACTAAAGCCTCCTTCCCCTGGCCAACCTGGCCTGGTATTTCTGTGCACTCACCCCTGAGTCAGAGCATTAAAGGCAAAGCAACACAGCACAGCTGGCTCCTTACCAGCCCAGACAAGGTGGTGGAGAAGCAGTCACTGGTGAAAGATCCTCAAGAGGAAGGTGCCTTTCATCGGGAGTAAAGAGCATCCCTCTTCGTGTGAGGATTCTGCCTCCCCACCGATCCCCACCCACACAGGGAGCACCTGTCTCTCATGAAAATAAGACTCCTGGTGATGTCCTCTGACCTCAGAGTCTCGGGGACACGAAGCCTTCTTTAGAATGTTGCTCTTGTGTACCCTCAGGCCCAGTCCCATAGTACACAAGCAAAATGGTCAGATCAACAGCTTTATTCTCCATACCTGGGTCTGGAAGACCCTTCACCGTTTCCACGTGGCATATTTATTCCTCAACAAACAAAAATATTTACCACTAAAGACTGCACCTCTAAAGGTGATTTTCAAAGCATTTTCAGAGCTAGACTGATGGTATCACTAGAACTAGAATATGGTCATGCAAGGGGTCCACTTCCGGTAGCACTTACCTACGCATAGATGTTCTGCTTTCTTTGTTTAAAAGGGTTTCTTTCACTACCTGTTGTTACACTTCCCATAAAACAGACTCCCGTCAAATTCACAGAGCTCCTTATTGAGTGAAGACTCAGAAACACAGCCCTGACAGGGGAGCATTAGGGATCTTTAATAATCAGGGGCCTCTCTGAGTCTCCATAAATGTCCTCTTGATTTTTCAGGAGGCGCCATTTCCACAGATCTTACCCCAGTTAGAGCTAATGAGTATTTCTTGGACACTGGCCGTGAGCCAGGCTTTCTGAAATCCACATGTGACCCAGTTTCTATCCTGAGAGCTAATGTTTAAAGCTCTGGAAGCATCTGCTACCAGAGCGGCAGCCTGTCAGTGGAGAAAAGCATACAAACCTGGGTTCCAATTCTGTCCCCACCACTTACTGGTTGATCTTGGAGAAGTTACCTCTCTGAGCCTCAGTTACCTCATCTATAAAATGGAGAGAAAAGAGTACCGACCTTTGCAAGGTGGTTGTGAAGGAAAACAGACACTGAATGGTTAGGAAAAGAAGCTTTTTAGACATCCAGCCATGTGCTGGTCACTGGATTAGGAGCTTTGCATGAATTTGAACTCCCTAACCCAGTGTCTGGTATATAATGTACAAAGTTATTAGCTTTTCCTCCTTCTAAAAAGCAGCCCGACTGGTGGGTCTGGGCCCTTTCCATGCACGGTGTACCCCATCATTTCTGACCCTGCCTCTTACCAGTTTGTGATTCCCATGGTGCCACCCTACCCTCTAGGGTGTTATTCAAAGGAAACATCTCATAAAAATTAACCATGTCCAGACCTGTGAATTAGCCCTTATAAACAAACCAGCCTTGGCCCTCCAGCAGCCTCCACTGACATTTTTTTCTCTTAGCCTCTCTGTCTCCACTGTCCAGCCCACTCTCTGAAGGTATTTGGTGAATTGCTGTTTTTGTATTTCCTAGAGCCCCTTTCACCCCTGAATCGGCCCCAGGCCCCAGGTAGAGAGCAGCACCCATTGTATGCCAGCGGTAAGGATTCCAGCAGGACCATGGTCTGCCATGAAGGCAGGGAAGGGTCTCTTAAGGGGAGGAGATGAAGGGCCCTGAGAGCCAGAGTTTCAGGATTCAGTCATCCAGGGAAGGAAGCGGGTGGCTCTTGAGAAGCGAGTGCTCTGGAGTTGGGATGGGAGAGGGAAGCAAGGCGGGAGCCGACCTCCAGGAGAGAAGGCAGGGGGTGGTTAGACTAAGGTTTGGCAAACTGTGGCCATGGGCCAAGCCCTGCCAACATGCATTTTTGTAAACAAAGTTGTTTTTTGTTTGTGTCTGGCTGGTTTCACACTACAGAGCCGAGTGGTTGCAGCAGAGACTATGGCCTACGACGCCTAAGATATTTACTATCTCTTTTACAGAAAAAGTTTGCTAACCTCTAAAGTTGTTTTTTGTTTGTGTCTGGCTGGTTTCACACTAGAGCCGAGTGGTTGCAACAGAGACTATGGCCCACAAAGCCTAAGGTATTTACTATCTCTTTTACAGAAAAAGTTTGCCAACCTCTTGTTTGAACAGTGCTGGGCTGGAGTAGCAGCTAGAATCTGCTACAAGGGCCAGGCACCTCCTGCCTAGATGGATATTCCACATTAATGACCAGGTCCCACTGCTACAACAGAGCCCCTGACTGGCTTCCCTCCATCATTAGCTCTATGACACTGACTTATATCTTGACGTGGGACAGTCAGGCAGATCCTATTTCAGCCTCATTCTTTCTTTCAGTTCATTACCTGAATGAAAGAGATGAAGGCATTATCTACTCTGTGATTCATACAACCCCAAAGAAGAGTGAAGGTGAGTGATCTTGGGCCAAACTTGACATGTTTCCTCATGTAAAGGAGAAGTTTGGGTTCTAGGGTGAGGTGTCACTACCACTATCATCACCATTACCATTTATGACCAAAATTACCATCACTACCACCACTACCTTCACCAATATCGTCTCCTCCTTCACCACCGTCACCTCCTTCTTCACCACCATAAACACATCTGTGACCACCGTAATCACCACCTCAACATCAGCTCCACCACCACTGTTACCATCCTAACTAGGGAACGTTTGCCCTTCTCTGAGCACTGTGGAGGAATAAAAAAGAGAATGATGCAATTTGTCTTAGCCCCAGAGTCTAAGTTGAAACAGGACATTCTCAGCTATCAGAGGAAGTCATGAAGACCACGGGCTCCCGCCATGCTGCTAGAGCTAGGAAGGCGGGGACGGGGAGCGGCTGGTCCTCTCTCCAGCAGAGGGAGGGAAGATGCGGGTTTCCGAGTCAGGCAGAACTGAGTTCACAACCTGACTCTAGGTACTCACTGTGTGAGTAGGCAAGTTATTTAACCTCCCTAAGCCTAATCCATAAAGTGGAGATAATGCCTGCTTTGCAAGACTATTATTAGTTAATAGGAATAGAACCTGGGTTCTAGAAACCTTAAAGATCCTCTGGTATGTCATAGGCGTTCAGAAAAGGGAGCTTTTTCATAGCTCGCCTGCTCTGAGATTTTCATTCTCGGTCTGTAAAATGGGTTTGAATCAGCCTAGGGTTTCTGCTTCCTCCCATAAAGGACACTAGAGCTGTGGTCGGCAAACTGCGGCTTGAGAGCCACATGCGGCTCTTTGGCCCCTTGAGTGTGGCTCTTCCTAGGCCTTAGGAGTACCCTAATTAAGTTAATAACAATGTACCTACCTATATAGTTTAAGTTTAAAAAATTTGGCTCTCAAAAGAAATTTCAATCGTTGTACTGTTGCTATTTGGCTCTGTTGACTAAGGAGTTTGCTGACCACTGGGATAGAGGAATCTCCTGAATCAGGGGCAGTTACCCCAGGACACAACTGGTTTCTGCCCAAAATATCCCAGGGCAGATGGGAAAGGACAGATGGCCCAGGTCCTTCCTGAGAAGAGTAGCAATGAAGACTTAAACCTAAGAAAGGAGAGAAGAAACCAACCTCAGAATATATGGTTCTCACTGGCAAGATAAGGAAATGTGACTGCTTTACTCCTGTTAGGGCAGCAAAGGTGAACGCATGATTTGGGGTGGGGGGGCGATCTGCTCCCAACTCACGCTCTAGGCTACTGTCCCTGGCGTGCGGGTGAAGGGATCTGAAACCCAGAGTAGGGAGGGTCATTGGGTCTTTTCTCGTTGAGAGGATGTTCCACGTGTGCAAAGGTGCAGTATTTGCATCCAGTTCCACCTCTTATGGAAGTGACTGTAGAGTGAATAACCTCGCCAAGCCTTGGTTTTCTCATCTCCATATGAGAAGGAATCGATACTCCCTACTTTGCAGGACTGATGTGGGATTAATATAATAGCATAATCCTCACTCCTAAAAGAGTTCCCGGTGCACACTAAGTATCTAATGTAGTTATTTTTAAAGGAACTCTGACAAGTTCATCACTCTCAGTTCTCACTAAAGTCCGTGTGAGACAGTCATTATTACCTCCACCCGCTGGTGAGGAAGCGGTGACTCAGAGGCCAAGCGACTGGCCTGAGGTCACACAGCTGCTGTGGTTGAACTGGGTGGAGACCCTGGTCTCCTGGCTCCTGGGCCTGCCTGTTCGCAGATTGAGAGTTGGGGTCCCGAGGAGTAAAAGGGGGAACAGTGCCCCCTGGGCTGGTCCGTGCTCTCCCCAGGGAGGCAGCTGCAAGGAGGTGGGGGGCGATGTGCTGGGGAGCACCCATGCCCTGACCCAAGTGTGCTTCCCTGCTCCCCTCAGCCAAGCCTGTGGAGTCAACCTTGGGGGAAATGGTGAGTGGACTCCTGCCCTTTCCTTATTCTCTCGTTTACATCTGCTTCCTCATCTCAACCCAACTCTCCCACAGGTCATTGCTAACATCTGCGCTGAGATGAAATGCTTGCATCTTGGTGAAGTTCCAGCCAAAGGACTGAATGTAAGAAGCAGGATCCGCAAAGATCCCCTTGGGTACTTGAAGGAGGTCCTCTCCTAGTGATGATGTCCTCCCAGCACACACACCCCCGAAGCCTCCTGTGCTCCCCAGGAGGCCAGTGGGGTCCCAGCCCATTCTTTGGGTCCTCCAGTTCCCAAGCCCAGGAAGCCTCTGAGCCCTTTGTCCTGGTCGGGGTTCTGAGGAAACTCAAGGAGCACCTGAACGAACTCTGAGTCCCCCTCTTAGCAGAAGAGCAGGCAAAGGTGTGGGAAGGGCAATCCCCACGCACACATCAGGTTCAAGCAGTGAACTGGCCACAGCAGCCACGGATGTGTTATTGCCACACAAGTGCAAGGTCAGAGTCCCTTCTCTCTATATACACTGAGTGGCCAGATTATTATGACCACCCCATCAGTACAATGAAGTGAATTAGTTATGCAAATAATCCTATATAATAAAAGGCTAATATGCAAATCGACCAAACAGTGAAATAACCGGTCGCTATGACACGCACTGACCACCAGGGGCAGACACTTAACACAGGAGCTGCCCCCTGGTGGTCAGTGCACTCCCACAGGAGGAGCACTGCTCAGCCAGAAGCTGGGCTCACAGCCTCTTCTGCCTCCGTAGCAGCACTAAGGATGTCCGACTGACGGCGGGGAGCAGGCCTAAGCTATCAGTCAGACATTCCCCGGGGCTCCCAGACTTCGAGAAGGCACAGGCTGGGCTGAGGGACCCCCGACCCCTGAGTGCATGAATTTCCTGCACCGGGCCTCTAGTAATAATAATAAAACCTTGAGAGTATTTGCTTAGGAAGTTTTCAATATTCAGTATATTTGGAAGTGTCAATGAAGTACTGATGGGATGGTCATAATAATCTGGCCACTCAGTGTATATGTAAGTGCTTTCTATTATGGTCCTCAGTCCCTTTGGATGTGCTTGGCCTGACCCTGTAAGGAGAGCTCATCAACCTGCATATCCCAGAGGGCTGGCCATGGGCCGCTCCTGTACAGCATTTCCAACTTTCAAGCTGCTGGTGAGGTCAGGGCTGAGGGGACTCTGAGGTTCAGTGAGATCAAGGGTCAGCACCACGAATGCTGCCTTCACATGCAAACCCTTCCCGGTTTCCAAAGCTGATGGAACCGAGGCTAGTCCAAAGCCTTCGTGTGAGGAGGACGTGAGAAAACTCACCTCACCCTTACATACTCAAAAAGAGGTACATGGCTGTAGAATCTATTTTTTAAATATTATATAAGCGATTTTTTCATATTGTTCACCAGTGTAAATCATTTGCAGGGCCTGTAGTTTGGTTTGGTTTGTTTAAGGCACTCACATTCCTTATGTCTGAGTGGTTAATGAAGGATCAGTTACACTTGCTCCTGTGGGCCCTGGCCCCAGCCTTTCAGGCCTCTGCGCGGGAATCACAGAGTGAGTCCCTGTCACAGATGCTGGCCTACACCAAACCCACCCACCTCTCCTAAGAAGTAGGCACTTTCAGGGAACTCCTGGAATGAAAGGAGCTTCAAACATCTAGCATTTCCCCTTGAACTTATTAAAAAGGCAGACACAGACCCAGTACCAGACTGCCGAATCCGAACCTGGTCTCCAGGCAATTTGTATGAACATTAACGTTTTAAAAGCCTGGTCTACCTCCGAAATACATACTCCATCAAGCATGAACTACATTCATCCACTCACCTTTGGAAACTTAATTGCCTGGGGTTCTGCTCTGAGTAAAGACAGTGGATAAGACAGAGAGGCCCAGAGAACTAGTAAGATAACCTATGCTGGCATTTTTTCTCACTTCTCTTTTATTCCCTTTTCCTCCTTCCCTTCTCCCACTCTAACCCCTCTCCATCCTCTTCCTCCTCCTCCTCATCTTTCTCATCACCTGTCCAGTCCTCGTCCATAATACATCAGGCCCCATCCCCTGTGCCTCTCTCATTGTGCCAGCATGACTGAGCCACACACGCCACGTCACCTAGAAGTGCAGGGTCCTCACTGGTCAACCAGGAAGTGCCAACAGAGCCCAAGCCCTTGCCACGCCTTCTATAAACAGGTGCCCCTTGTAAAGAGTCAAAACAGACAAGACAACTCATGAAGAAAACACTGCTGATGGGGACCAGGAAGGAACCAGCCCTTCCAGTTATCCCCAAAGACTGCCTCCTGCCTGCGTTT